CAGTCTGTTCATCAAAAGAGTCTCGGCTTGTTTAATCTCCTTTATCAGCCCTGCTCCCCTCTCATGCTCACTAAGACTCTCGCTCCTTAAATTGCTGCCTACATCTGAGCCAGTGCAGTGCACATTCCCCCCTTCCTCAGAAGGCTTCAAGGCCAGAGAGAGGGAGCAGGAGAGAGGGAAATAATCTTGGCACTTGTTCAGGTTGTTGTGGAGAAAAAAGAAGGGGAGGAGGGGGGAAAAAAACCCATAGTCTGCCAGTGGGGATTTCCTCTGTAATAAGCCAGATGGCATCATAGGATGCTTAGGGAGACTGTTTCTGCCTAATTCGCGTCAGTGGCAGGAACTGCCAAGCCTGGCTTTCGTGGTAAAACCAGTGACTAGCTATTTTATATTCTTTCTATTTGCTGTGCATGCTGTCCCCACCTGTCACTAATGCCTTTCTAATGCAGCAAGCGCCTGATGCAAGCTCCTGCCTAGCCTTCCCCTCTCTCACCCACTCCGAGACCCCAACTGGTATTCTCCACCATTTACCAGCAACATGGCTGCAATGTTTGCTTTTCATCCCAGTGACTTAGGAACTAATTCCTTTCTTCAAGTGCAGAATATTTCATGTAAAGTGGGGGAAACCAGCTGTGCAGTTTCTAAAGATTGCCAGCCTGGCTAAAGCCCATACAGGGATCTATAGAATGAAATACAGAGCTGGTATTATGCAAAATCACTCCGTACATTGAACGAGAAACATCCACTTGACACTCTTGCTGAGAATCACAGGACATACCTATATATAGTATGTTTATATATTTACATATGCACAAATACATGTGTATTTATAAGACGCATGTATCTTAAAAATATTCATGTTTCCTCTACCTTCTGAAAGACAAGACTCACTCTCTTCATAGACCAGATGGGCAGGAAAGACTAGGCATTCTAGAAACACAGAGAAATCTTATAGAAAATCTGTACACGGCTGCTGTAGCTTCTCTGGTTCCCTGGAGTCGGATCTATAAGGCGTCTGCCTGCCTTAAAGGCATGTATAATCAGTGTGCAGACTAAATTGCTTTTCCTTTCTGGAAGCAGTCCTAGCTAACATTCAGCCCAGAAAAAGTGTTTTAAACTTAGTCTTTGGTCAGAACAAAGCAGGATTTTTCCAGCACTTCCTCAAGCTGCTTCCTCCTTTCTGACACTGCTCTTTGTCACCTTGTAGCCATCACACACAGATGTCACGACAGCAGAGTAAAGAAATACTTCCTAGACTGTTCGCTGATATAGTCAGTAAAGCTGAAAATGTCTTCTGTAGCAGAGGCACTAAGAAAACTTTGCAAGCAGCGTCCTGCTAGGAAGTGAAGAGCTAGTGCCATGATGTAGGCTGGGCCATGGTCCAAGCTGCTGGGCCATGAAAGCAGGACTACTAGAGCCAAGGAAATTGCAGCATTTATATAACCTGATAAGGAACATGCTCATTGATATACTATCAACTTGGATAATCTAGAGAGAGTCAGACTGTGTTTGCTTTACCTTACAGCAAAAATAAACCTTACAAAAGCTTGTAAGGTTTATCCCATGGGTTATCAGGCATGAATCCACGTGGGTAGTTAGCTCACCTTGATGTCAGCAAGGTGCTGATGATGCTTTTTTGCTCTCTTTTCTCTGGTGGGGGGGAAGGTGGGAGGAATTACAGCTGCATGCAGAACCAGACATTCCAATCATTTTTGATATTGACAATAACAGCAGTCAATATCAAAAACGTATTAGTTAAGTGGCATTACTCATTTCCATTTACAAAAGGATTGAGAACTGGAAAGTGAGGATCATTTTTTCCTTCTGCTTCCCACAGGTGCTTTATGTGCCTCTGACAGCAGAGCCCAGGGCCTGAGGACCCTGCAGGCTGGATCTCCGGCACCTTCAGAGGACTCAGGTCAGTCTCCATCAGCATTACAGCCCAGACCAGCAGCACTCTTTGATATAGAAGTCTGTTTCACCAGCACTTTCCCCTTTGCATTTTCCTCTTTGACTTTCTCTGCAGCAAGGTCTTGGGGTGCAACCTGGGTGTCTCTTAGGTGAAATGAAGCTGGACAATTGCCTCCCCATTACAAAACATTCAGGGTCCAAAGCACCTCCCCATAAATGCTGCATGAAGTATAGACCCTGCATCCTCAATGCTGTTTTGCTCTGTGGATCTACTCCATTTATGCTGCATTACTTGCTAATGCAGGCATAGCCTTATAATCCCCTCTGAGGTGCTCGTGCTCCCCTCCTGCTTGGCCTTCAGCCTGCAGTGTAGCAGATTTTGGTTTCCACAACTGCTCTCAGTGGCCAGGACTCAAAAGAAAGGCAAATTTCTTGATTTTGCTCTGCCTGATGTTGGATGGGAGAGCAGCCAGGCAGAACTGATAGGCCTAAAGATAGCTTAACACCATCTTCTGCTGAGCACCCTCCACAGCTACAACGTGCTGCAAGCCAAGCATAGCCTGAAGTTTGAGCCAGTGTGTTTAAATAGGGCAATAACAAAGGCAGTTTCCCCCTCCTCACAGCTGCCTGCTGGATAGTTCTGTGTTTATGACCACATCACTATTTGGATGGATTGCCCAGACTCGCTGCTTGCTGTGTTTATAGGTGTCCTTGAGGGCTGGTGTGAGCTGAGGATGCCAAGAGCCTCTATCCGTCCCAAGGGTCTCCCATACTTCACTCAGCACCTTGGGTGCATGGCCAAGGACAAGGGAACACAGAGTCCCTTCCCACAGCTTTTGAACCAAGCACAAGGGATTGATCTGCCTCTCCGGGCTAGGAGTTCATTGTCTTTCTGGCAAGACCATTCTCTCAAAAGCAAGGCTCAAGTTCAACACCCCGTTTACTCAGATTGGGAACTGGACATTTAGGTCAGGTGGAACTTAGCAGAAAGACACGTTTGTTAGTTATCACAGAGTCTTGGTTAATTAGGCACTGACAGGTACTGCTTATAGTTAGGACAAGAGAAATAACTACAGCAAAAAAAAATAGTGGGATATTCTTGGAATACTAATGGAATAATATGCCAGCATCTGTGGTGACTTAGAAAAGCTATTTTACTTCTGAAAAGATAATTTGATAACATCTATTTCTGATAATTATGCACATTTCTAATAGTGTCTCCATGCTATTTAGTGTATTAAATATTACTGTAGTCATTAGTGGGTTTTCCTCTATTAAAAAAATGACTATTTCAGGGTGTGAGGGTACAGTGTCTAGTAAACATAACCTAATGTTACGGGGTTTCCTTTTCCATTATATGATTATAGAAAAAATAAGTTCTCAGAAAATGTGTAAGTAAAACGTTTCTGAGCTAAGACTATCTGCAGAACAGAGGAGTCTTGAAAATGAGCATGAAAGGCAGAATCCATCTTCTGTTGTATTTTTGAGCTGGAGTTGCCTACGGATATCTATCCATTAGAAGTATATTCAGAAGAGCTCTGCTCTTGATGGGGCTGCGAGATAACTGCGAAGCACAAAAGAGGTGTCTCATACAAGGTCTAATGCAGTGATGGGAAGGAGCTGAGGACAAAGCTGCATTATCACAGCTTTTAAAGTGCGACCTCACCGACTCCAACAATGCACATAATTCTGATGCATGAACACAGTACTGGGAGGCCTCTTTTCAAGATGATCACAGTGTAGAGGCAGTTTAAAAAACTTCAAAGCAGGTTGATTAATTTCCATAACTGTTGCCAACCCCTAATCAGATGACCAAGAGTTCCCAGTTGCAAAGATAAAAATTGATTATATTAATTTCTGTCCTCAATTGAACCTAGCAATCCTACTGAAATCAGCAGTACCAACACATATTAATATGAGTCCTTTGTCTGCAAAAACTGTCTTCCTGCCAGCTCACAGATTCAGGGATTTTCTTCATTTCTGTTTCAAAGAGTGAAATTAAAAGAGCAAAACATAAAACAAACTCAAAGGACTCCATGTCATTTAGATTGGAGTTATTTTCTTTTGGCAAGCCAGACTCTGCCTCTGATCTTTAAGTGACTTTCTCGAAGTTGGTGTCTACAGTTTCCTCCACTAAAATTCAAAGGCTGTGCTTACTCTTGAGACAACATATTCATATCCAGTTGCTTCTAAAGCAGCTTTAGAAAGAATACTATATGATTTTTCCCAAATCTAGAGCTGAACTTTTTATGACTTATTCCCCCTGTGTAAGAGCCCAAATCCAGACCCTCTCTCCCCATTTTTCCCTCCCCTTGACTGCCTCAGTAGTGCAAGCTCTGAAGTGCAGGTCCCGAAAGAGGGGCATTTAGCATAGCTGTATTTCGTAAACTGGAAAGATTTTACACCACAGGACAGTTGATTAAAATTACTCTGTAATGAAAAAGAATGACATTGAGATGCCCAATTTAACTGAGATGACAGAAAGAAAAAAAAAAAAGAAAAAAGAAATGGTCTAAGCTTTCTTTGCAGAGATTATAAATATGATTCAGAAATTTATTTATAACTTCATCTACGCTTATTCTTCCCAGAAATTCAAAGGCTAGAAAGCCACCCTTGGCCAATTTCATCGCAGCCAAGTACAGCATTTATCAACTGCAATTGACATGGGAAAACATCTGCCAATGGAGGATGCATCTTCTTTCTCAGCAGCTTGTTCCCAGCACATACCCTACATTCAATCTCTGGCTTGGGGACTTCCAGACAAACAGAGCCCAAGGCTGTGCCTGGCTAGAGCCTCCCTACGCACCATGGCCAGCTGGTGAACACAGGACATCCACCCAGCCCAGCCCAGCCCCAGGCAGAACCCCAGAAATTATAGTTATTTACTCAAAAGGCTTCATTTTTTAATAACTCCTTGAGGAAAGAGTCAAAGCAGAGGTTTGCAGCCTCTAGCATTTTCTCTGCTTCCTTTGCATATTGGTACAAAAGGTTGATGAAGGTGTTTCCATAAAAGTCACGGCTCCAATATCAAAATTAAATTAACATCCACAATTTTTGGAGGCAGCCAGGGAAAACTGACCTCATGGTATGAGCTCTAAGAAAGCTCAGGAGGGAGAAATTAATAGAGTTAGCAGTAATTACTACCAAAGTTATGGCACTGAATAGGACAATGCCCAATAACGAGAGGTCACATTTACTAATGTGCCCTTCTATGTGCATTTGTCTTCTTAGTATTGTAGTCATTTGTGGTGTTCTCTCACACAGCAGGATTCTCCAAGCAACTCTTTCTTCTTTTGTAAGTTCCTGATAAAGGAGGGTTCAGGGCAACACTTTTAGGCTTCTGAAGTCTTGAAATAATATATTTTCATTCAGTCTCTCTTTAAAAGTGGTTTCTCTGTGTCTGAATATCGTTGTCTAAGTAAATAAGATTTTCAGAAACAAGCAAAACTGAGTTAATTAAGATTTAAACCCACAGTGGAACAAGAACCAAGCTTTCTATTCACTTTTAGCCACTTAGGCTTTGCATACACTAGGAAAATTTGCATTCGTATTAATGGAATTAAGCATATGAACACATATATAGTAAAAATAATCACTACGTCATCACAGTATAAGAAAGCTTGCATAATAACAACATCCACACAACTATATGGTAAAAATGGCCATCCTGCTAAGACTAAGCATACCTGTCCTAATTGAATGTTATGAACCACACAGCTATATGGGGTGCCTAGGAGTCATCTGCCTATTCTCAAGAATTTCTAAAGATACATGGAAACTTGAATTTGTTTCACATGAGATTTTGAAGTTTTTAATATTGATGCAAGAACACATCAGCACAAAGACATTTTGTTATATCAAAATTCTTAATCAAAAAGAAAAAATCAGCATTGAATAATTTCTTGCTTTAGCTAAAGGTGGTCATAACATTTAAGAAAGGGAGTCTAGTGCATTATTTTATGTTATTTTTAATCTAAAGATAAAATTACAAAAAAAAGTAATAAAAAGAGTAATACAGGCGTTTTCTTGGTTAATTAGCTAACTGAAATGCTTGAGACAAACATCAAGCTTCTTCCTTTCTGTAGGGCACAAACCGATGTTCTCCTACAGATGCAGAAGTGCCAGCTGGATCTCCTGCACACATCCTCCTGGAGGCTTGAGCCTCCCCTGCACTGCTGGCAGATGAGTCCATCAGAACATTCTCTAATATACCTCAGAAAAGAAAAAGTCATTAAAGCTAACTTGGCATAATTGCCAAATGGTTGGGGACAGTAAAAACCACTGCTGGCAGTGATGGGTACACAAGGAGGGCAAATTCTTCCACAAATACAGTGGGCATCACTTCATCACTTCAGCGTATGAGCCAAAACCCATTCAAGTCAAGACTTTTGACTTAAAGTAGAATCTAACCCTTGTTCAACCTTCAGCTTCAAAATAGTGCCTCTCGTAGCATTTCTTTGCTGTCCATTTCTATATTTTTTTTACTGCACAAGCATTGTTGTGATTGAGTAACCTAGACTGAAAGAGAACGTCTTGATAAAGCCAACATTGCGTGCCTGAATCGGTATTACAGAGAACAACAAATGTCACTCTGCTGCTTCTGCCACTTCAGCACAACTCCAAAGGTCACTAATTCCTCAGGAAGCTGCCATAAATAGCTTGCCTCTCATACAGAAGTGTTCTGCCAAAATTTTAAACTCAGAGCTGCCTTGTATTTTCACCTTCAGCCATCAATACTTTTTGACAATTCTTTGCTAGAATACTCTTTCCTTTTTAACACCTTATTAATTCCACAGTTGTATCTGGGCCCATACTCCCACAGTAATTGCAAGACTCCCACTCACATTTCACTGACATTAAAAAGTGCTTTCGACTATAACTAGACAGGAAACTCTCTTAATGGAGATGTAGCTCCTGTTGACAGAACTGCACTTCCAGTTCTTCCCCCAAAGTTAGAGCTCTACCAAAGACACTTTCCTATCTTTTCTATTCTTGTTTAAACTGAATCCACTGTAGTGCTTTTGCCAGTACTGAAACAGGACAAGAAAAAAAAGTTATCCTAAGAGTTATTCCAAAAACACTTGCTTTCCCTCAGAGGTAGATATGGCCTCAGTTTAGTGGTATTTTAGCTCTGTTCCTCTAATGCAGGTACGCGTGGTGGGAAGCACATAAGATATCCCCTATCCATTTTTATACAAACGAAGGCCATCATCACACCATAAAAACCATAAAATAGTTTGCCATGCACAACTGCTATACGCAGGAACAAACTGGAGAAGTTTCCTTCATTCATGATCTACACCCATTGCTGTAAGATGTGGTGAATTGCTCTAGTCTGTGTATCAAAGGCTTCTGACCTCCAAGCCTGAAGATGACTATACCACAGCATAAGCCTCTGAAGACTATGGAAGTGGTGAGGCAAAAAAAAAAGTGTGGGGGAATATTACTAGGATATTATTAGGCAGCACAGAAAATGTTGAAGTGATTTGCTTCAGGGAAAATATTGTGAATAAAGGAAAAGGCAGATGAAAGCAGCTATTAAGAAACCTCAGAATCAGATGTACACAATAGAAGAACCTGAAGCCTATACTTGTCCCTCATTCAATCAAAAGTGAGATCGGTAGGTGCAGAAATCCAAAGATTTAAAAGGAATTAGAGAGTCTCACTGGATGGGTCAGGTATTAAGGCCAAATAATTATTCAGATGAAAACACTGAGAAAGCTTCTTTGAAACATTTCATACAGACTCTTTGTGCTTGCAAACACTTTTGCCACTGGGAATAATCTAAGGAAAAGGACAAGACAAACCCCCTAAAAATGTGTATTACTCAAGGGATGAATACTGTAATTACATAAAGCCTGTTACAGTACTTAATAATGTGTAGTCTACCTAGAATCAATAGACCTAACTCAGCAAGAAAAGAGCAAAATCTGTACCTTAATTTATTTTCTTATTTAAATTAAAAGGCTCCTATCAGCTGGCCTTCATTTTCTATAGCCTTTTTTCAAGGTCCTTGTAATCTGCTTCAGACTTATCCTTGAATTCTTCATTTTCTTCAGCTACTGGGCAAAGTCGGGTCTTCAAATTGGCAGCTTTGAGTTGTTGCCTCAATCAATGCTTGCAGCACCTTAAACTGCAATGAAAACAGCAGGAGTTTAGGTGGAAAACAGCATATGAGCAACCAGTAAATGTATCATGCAATTTCTTCTGTCACATCACCCCTCTCTGACTAAAGACCCCTTTTCACACCCTTCACCCCACTATCACTGACAGCAAGATCACAGTGGAAAATTTGCTGCTTGTTTCTGAAGACAACTGAAAGTATATTAAAACTATTCTCATCTGCATCTTTTCAGCCTGTATTTCTATTCATGCATTTTCTCTTCCTTTGAAGGTGGTTAATATACTAGAAAAAATGATCACAAATACTGAAAACGTTTAATAAGTGTATTTGAAATCCATTCCTGTATGTGGTTTTGACATCTGAGTTTTGCTACGACAAGCTTGCTGATCAAACAGTTAATTAGAAACTTTTCAGCCAGTGTTAGTCACAGATAAGGCATTTATTCAGTTGTGCTGGATCTCACTTATGAAGAGGTTGAAAGCAAAGAAATCTTCTGTTCAGATCTGATCCAACAGCCCCAAGTTTGGCGGCTAAACCCCATGTGTGATATGGTGGATACTTTAGTATGGACACCACAAGAAATACTTCTGCAGCTATGCCAGCCACTACAAAGTTATAAAGTGAAAGATATTTTAAATCTCACCTTCTAGGTGCTCCTGATGTGGCATCACCAGCTTTTTTTTTTTTTTTTTCCCATACATTTTCATGTTTCCTCACATGGCTAGGGCAAGGTAGGAATAGTTTCCCAGTTACTCACAGCATACACAGAAGATGGCCATGATTGGTGATGCATTTAGTACTTAAGTGATCAGAAGATAACAGATAGAAAATATCCCACATGCTGTTGGACCTTCCAACAGCACAACTGCAGCAGGAGGCATGGACAGCTCCTCCCTTAGAGCCGCCTTGAGAACTATTTTCTTGAAAAAGCGAGCAAGGATCCTCCAAGGACGCCACGTAGGCTGTGCAGACATAGATTTCTCCTTCCCCACATAAGTGCTTCTGAGAATCCAGGCCCAGTACTTGAGAACTGACCTGGAGCTCATTAGGGAAGCAGCGAAATGCCTGGCGCGTGCCCTGATGTATTCTGAAAACTGCTGCAGAGGAAGTAGGCTGCTGCATTGCCAGCCAACTGCAGCTTTCTCAAGTCCTGCTTTCAAGCCAAGATTAATTTTGTTGCAACAACCCAGTATGCAGGCAATAAAGACCTCCAACGAAGGCAGGTCATAAGAGGAAAAGATGGGATGCACTCCTTTATGCAGGAAGGGGATCCAGGGTCAGCTGGGCAGATAGGCACCCTCAGCTCTCGCAGGCTCCTCTGGGGATCTTGAAAACAGCTTTCCTCGACTGGAGGATCTGCAGTGAGAAAAACAACACTGTATCATGAAATTTCTACTGTCACATTTGGCAAGAGATAATTTCATACATCATGGGGCAACTGTGACCGATCGCTCATGCTGGTGATGTTGAAATGGGATTTCTTCTAAGGATAAACAGGTGCCTCATTTAAAGTGCAACACAGTTAATACCTCAAGTAAACTAGAATTCTAGTTGCACAGTATGAGGAACGCATCCAACTGGCAGGGAAAATAAATACTTCTCCGAACAGGCAGTAATCAGTTAACATTACGCTAAAACAAACATTGAGAAAGCACAGCACTTTAGCAATTAAAGGTCCAAATTTGCAAAATTAATTAGTGTTTCCCACAGCATCGCACTCTACTTATGAACAGCTCTATTGTCAATGTACGATGTTCTAATATGAAAAGAGAGCATTCTTATGTTAATTATCTAATTAACTAATCTGGGCACAATTAGCAGCTGAAACAGCACAGCATTACACTCTTCCTTCTTCCCTTCCGGATTCAAGATTGCCTTTAAATATGTACTCGAGGGGCAGGGGACCCTGGTGATGAAGTTTGCCACCAAGTTAACCCAAGCTCAGTGCCAGCACAAGGCCCAACAAGAGGCACTGATAGAGATAGGAGCAGCACAGATGCCCCCAGCAAGGTGTTTAGAGAAAGTGATTCAGCTATTTGATGTCATCCCCACAGCTAGCCTGCCCTCCAGTGAAGCAGTCCTTGTCACTTCACAGAAAGTCAGCATGAGATGCCCGTGAATACAGTGGTCTCTTTCTCTGCCCCCTTGGAAACCAAGCACCACTTAACAAGACCTCCCTGACACCAGTATTTTCCAAAGAATGGCTCAGTGGCTATTTCAGAGGTCTTAAAATAAAGAGTCTATTCACTTTCACTTCGCTGCCAGGATAGCTATTGACTTCACTAAAGTTTACTGTGGTATAAAGACTAGAATTAGAGAAACTGCACAGTTCTCAAACAAAAACATATCAGAGAACTACGTTTGATGAAAACAGCCTAAGTCTGCCTCAGAATCGCCTAGACAATATCTCAGGGTCCTGTCTCACCTTCTGTTACAATGATCCAAAAGAAAAGGGGGACATTCAAAGGCAAACATTCACTCCAACTCTTTCAAACTGGTACATTTAAAAATCTGCTTTAGATGGCATTTTTATTTAGCTATTGATCTTGGGTCTGGTAATTAAAAAGGGGACAAAAAGGTTACAGGAACTGAATTGTACCTACTGAGTTGTACAAAAAAAATAGCCAATATAAAACACTGATTCTCTGCTGTTCCACTAAAAACACTTTGGGCAGATCCACAGTACACTCCATCTCCCATTTTTTCATTTCTCTCCAAGAAGAGGAGGTGCTGTCACAAAAACAAACAAAGGCAGCAAGTAACACAGACACACACTTAGGTTGAAGGGACTGGCAAAGGTCATGCAGTCCAGCTCTGTCACGCTGGACTCCATGTCTAGTGACTAAATCAGCTTACTTGGCAATTTACAAGGCAAGTCCTGAGTATCTCCAGAGATGATTCTACAACTTTTCTAGGCAACCTGCTAGAGCATTTGACTACTCATACTAAAAAAAAAATCTCTTAACAGTTCACTGGAATTTCCCATGTTGAAATTCTGTCTTTTGTTCTTCCACTGTACACTAAGATTTTGAATCTGTCTTCTCTGCACCCTCCTATTAGGTAGCTGCAGCCAGCAGCAGGTCTCCCTTCATCCATTTCTTCTCCATGCTGAACACATCCAGCTCCCACAGCAGCTCAGTAACATGCAACAGCTCCCTGACTGTCCTCATGGCCCTCTGAAAGGCTTGCTCCAGGATAACACCCTGGTGATCTCCACATACCCCTCCAGGCTAGATTAGCCTTCAGTTCTGTGTGAGCTGCTGTGTTCCTCAGCGAGGAACATCTCCAGCACAGGGATCAGCCTCTCTACTCAAGAGCTCAAAGAGCACATGGCCCATATCAGAGAGACATTCAGACTTAACTGCGAGTCTGAACACTCCCTGCGTCATCCTGTGGCCCCAAGAGAGCAAGAATCACAGCCACAAGTTGTCCTGGCAACACAGAGCCCAACGCAGCCAGCCACACGCTGGCTCACATGCAGTCAGACCCAAGAAGGGTCTGCAGACCCAAAAAGGGTCTGACTGCAGGTTCACTTTTGTCCAGACACATTTGTGAACTGAAGGGGACTAAATGTTCACTTTTGTCCAGACACTTTTGACTGAAACCATAGATGTCTAATGTTTAAGGTATGGGGAAGGGGACAGGCAAGGAAATGACTATTCCCAGGCACTTTCACTAGGTCAAGCATTCTCCTGCATATATTGTATAAGACAGGTCTTTTTTTAAAAGGAAACTTCTTCCTCCACATGTGACTTAATACACAAGCTTGGCTTCTGTGAATATTTGCCTCTGGCATAACAGCTAACTTCAGAAAGGACTTGCCGCAGTATATTTCTTTGTGGATGAAGCCCAATAATTCTGTGATTTTCAAATATTGTGATGGACACCTATTTTATTAAAACTTTTGCCAAAATGAGCCACCACAATTGGCTCTCAGTGACTCACAAATCAGCTACACAAATCATCGCATTCATTAATCTCTACTAGCCAAAAGAATAAGCTGCTTCAACCATAGCAAAGTCCTTTATACCAAGAGTGAACCATAACCTATTGCCATGATGGCAAAAGTAACTGCCTTCCTTTGATGGGGGTAATTCGGGATACTTAATCCTACAAAATGACATTTAATATACTTAACACTACAGGGTGAGACCCTGTCTCCTATATTTAAGCCCTGCATGATTTGCATAAATCCATAAGAATCCCACTGAAGCATTCCTGCTGTCCCAGTAATGACACCCAAGGGGTTCTCTGGGTACCACTATTGCACTCTATTAGATATTCTCAGTGCTGACTAGTTGGGTTCAGAGAGCCTCTTCTTGGAAGCCATAATGAGCCTACCAAGTCTCCAGTACAATACAGATGCCAAAATAACCTCCTGCCTAAGAACTGCAAGAGAACCAAATCTGCAAATGACAGTTCTTCTACAATGCAGATGTAGGCTCTGATGTTCATAGTGGTCTCCAAACACTGCAACACTAACCGCTGTGTCCATACGGAAGATGATACTCTACCAAGGATCCTGGAGAATGATTTAGTTATTAGTCAAAGTCAAACTCATACCCTTTTGGGGAAAAACTCAGCCACATGTGCATGAAAGCCAGTTCTCACATGCACAAGAATTACAAAAACATTTTTTTAGGATGGAGGTGTTTAGTATGAACATCACTGCACAGTGCCTCTTGAATTACACTAAAAAATTGAAGAACTACCTGGCCACCAGTGAGAAACTCTGATTTTCATCTGGAAACATCCATTTCTGCATTTCTTCTTGGCAATAAGTGATAAGTTTTGCTATGCTGAGTACATGAAATTATATATATAATAATTTATACATAATACATGAGACAATCACAACCTGCTCAGGGATACACCAGCTGGAGAGAAAAATCAAAACACAGAGGTTGCATTACAGACCCATGATTTTCTGGGTTATTTGTTGAAGATGAGTCAATTTCTTGGTAAAGAACTTCTTAGTGAAAAGGAACATGACAGTACTGAAATTCATCCTCTTTTGGGACATTTAAGTGAGTGTTCCCAAATTCCTTACATTAGCACATCAATAGAGATGGTTACAAATATTACTGTTTTGTGCCAGAAAACTTATAACAAGGCGCTGGCTTGTTACCAAGCCACTGACCCTCTAGGACTGGCTTAGGGACAATTCAGTACATTATTTAATGAGAAAAAGAGTATATGGCCTATGAAGACTTATTTCACATTGTGGCTTGCCTACCGTAGCAGTGATCTAGCTTGGCAGCTCCATGCTCCCTAAGGGATGAGGGACTCCACCCAGGCACACTATGCTGAAACCAGAGCATCCAAACCAGTGACTCGTATTTGGCTCAGAGTGCCATAAACTGCATTCAGGCTCGGTCTTAAAATAAAGACAAATGGCATCCACAGGCATTACTCTTTACATGGACTGTAGTGGTGATGTCCTGCTCTCATTCAGCAAGTAATTATGAAGGGCACATGGTGCTTTTTAGTGGTTATGGCAAACTTCTGATAATGCTCACTGATACTTCATTTTAGGGTTGCAGTTTTCTCCTCCTTCCCCCCTAATAAGAAGGGTATTATACTTTCCTTCCCCATATTTTTCATTCTAAAACACTTCCCCAGTTTAAACAAACATGTTCACTGTACATTTTTTGGAACCAGTTCCCAAGTCATGGGAAAATAGAACCATGAT